ATATATAATATATTATATATATATATATATATATATATATATATATATATATATATATATATATAAATATATATATATATATATATATAATATATATATATATATAATATATATATATATATATATATATATATATATATATATATATATATATAGTATATATATATATATATATATATATATATATATATATATATATATATATATATATATATATATATATATATATATATATATATATATATATATATATATATATATATATATATATATATATATATATATATATATATATATTATATATATATATATATATATATATATATATATATATATATATATATATATATATATATATATATATATATATATATATATATATATATATATATATATATATATATATATATATATATATAAATATATATATATATATATTAGGGTGCATCAAATGCCCCATACTTTCAAAAATGGATCTATCCCTATTCTTAAAACTTTCTATTGGTACTCACAAGACACTCTGTTAAATTTTTTCAAAATTGAATGAGATTTAGGGGGGCCACCTCAAATCTGAAACTTGCGACAAGACCCTAAACAGAAGAAAAAAAAGTTTTTCAAATGTATGTCATGCTCAAATCAAATGTCTGTCATACTCAAAAGAATGTATGTCATACTCAAAAGAAGCAGAATTTTATTAAAAAATTCCAAAAACAATAAAAATTTTACATAATATTTATTATTATAAGTTTTATTGCATAAAAATTATTTTTTAGCAAAAATTTAAAAAAAGCCATTTTTTCATCATTTTTGGTCGAAATTTTTTTTCAAGGTATTTTTAACAAAAAATCATAACTATTTTTGAAATTTTTATACTTTTTTTTCTTCTGTTTAGGGTCTTGTCGCAAGTTTCAGATTTGAGGTGGCCCTCCTAAATCTCATTCAATTTTGAAAAAATTTAACAGAGTGTCTTGTGAGTACCAATAGAAAGTTTTAAGAACAGGGATAGATCAATTTTTGAAAGTATGGGGCGTTTGATGCACCCTAATATATATATATATATATATATATATATATATATAATATATATATATATATATATATATATATATATATATATATATATATATATACATATATATTATATATATATATATATATATATATATATATATTATATAATATATATATATATATATATATATATATATATACATAAATATATATATACATAAATATATATAAATACGCCTTAATTTAAAAAATTTTGTTGACTTTTTTGAAATATTTTATTTATTTTTTGTTGCAAATGTCAGGTTTATGAATGCAAAACTTTACTTACATTCTGATTATTTTAAATATTTAGTGACAACAAAACCTTGGAGCAGAGTGTGAAAACAACCTAGTAGAAAAACTCTGATATAAAGAGCTTAATTTTATTATGGGTAGGAGCTTTCAAACATCTAGTAATCTTTCTAGTGGCAGTACCACAACAAAAATGCTCAGACCTGATCTTTTGATCAATTCAGGATGAGGATCATCATGATCTTGAGGTTAGATCAGGATTGTGATCATCATGATAACACTGCTTCTGATAACATGTAATTCACATTTTGAGACTAAATAAATAAAAATAGTTGTAAGGTTGCATCTGTTACTTCCATATCTATCTGTTACTTCCATATCTATCAGCAAAACAATTCTCCAGAAAACAAACATCTGTTCACTATCGCCAGAAACCATTGTAAAAAGGTTTTGTCTGACGCCAAAGCTCGCTATTCCCAGGTCATTAAATCTCGTATCTCATCACAAAAATTAGGCTCTCGAGACTTCTGGAGAATCTTTAACAGTATCAATAATAAGGGCAAATCTGTTATTCCTTCTCGCTTGTATGGTTCAGACTTTGTCACCTCACCTAAAGACAAAGCTGAATTGTTTGCTAAGAACTTTTCATCAATATCATCTCTTGATTCCACTAGTTGCGTTTTACCTGACATAGCCGTCAAACAGGTTGATCCCTTGCTTGACATTCGCATCACTTCAGCTTCTGTATCTAAAGTAATTTCCTGCTTAGACTCTTCAACAGCTTGTGGTCCTGACAACATTCCTGTTGTAGTCTTGCAGAGGTGTTCTCCGGAGCTTTCATCCATACTTTCTAAACTATTTAACAAGTGCTTATCAGAGTCTTGTTTTCCATCATGCTGGAAAGCAGCATCTGTTATCCCTATTTTCAAAAAATCCGGAGAGCGATCTGATTCATCTAACTACCGTCCCATTAGTCTTCTTCCTGTCATAAGCAAGGTTTTTGAATCTTTAATCAACAAACACTCAATCTCTCATCTTGAATCAAATAACTTACTTTCTGATCATCAATATGGATTTCGGTCTTCTCGTTCTACAGCTGATGTGCTAACAGTAATAACCGATAGGTTTTTACCGTGCATTAGATAGAGGTGGAGAGGTTAAGGCTATCGCACTTGACATTTCTAAAGCTTTTGATAAAGTTTGGCATGCTGGTCTTCTCCATAAGCTTTCTTCTTATGGTGTAGCTGGTAACGTCTTTAAGATTATTGAGTCCTTTCTTTCCAATCGTAGTATAAAAGTTGTCCTCGATGGACAACACTCTTCTTCACATCCTGTAACTTCAGGGGTTCCTCAAGGTTCAATCCTTGGCCCTATACTCTTTTTAATTTACATTAACGATCTTCCAGATATTCTCACATCTAAGGTGGCATTATTCGCCGACGACACTACCATTTACTCTTGTCATGATAAGAAGCCTACACTCTCTGATTGCTTGGAGGGGGTATCTGAGCTTGAAAAGGATCTCACTTCTGCTACAGCATGGGGCTCACAGTGGCTGGTGAACTTTAATTCAGATAAAACTCAATTTTATTCGGCCAATCGTTATCGTAATAATTTAGATCTTCCTATATTTATGAATGGTAATGTACTAGATGAGTCATCTACCATTCATCTTCTAGGATTAACTCTTACTTCTGATCTTTCTTTTAAACCGTATATCAAATCCATTGCAAAATTAGCATCTGCTAAGGTTGCATCTCTTTATCGAGCTCAAAACTTTCTTACTCCAGATTCTATTCTCTATAAATCTCAAATCCGTCCCTGTATGGAATACTGTTGCCACATCTGGGGCGGATCTTCTAATGATGCTCTTTTTCTTTTAGACAAGGTGCAAAAACGAATTGTAAACATAGTTGGACCTGCTCTGGCAGCCAATCTCCAACCTTTGTCACATTGCGTAATGTTGCTTCTCTTTCTCTTTTCTACAAATACTATAATAGGCACTGCTCTAAAGAGCTAGCGTCCCTTGTGCCATCTACTAAAATTCATTCTCGTGTTACTCGCCATTCAATTAAGTCTCATCCTTTTTCTGTGACTGTTCCTAAGTGCTTCAAAAATTCTTATTCTTCTAGTTTTTTTCCTTGAACATCAGTTCTTTGGAATTCGCTTCCTTCATCTTGCTTTCCTGATTCATATAATTTGCAATCTTTTAAGTCATCAGTCAATCGTTATCTTGCTCTACAGATTTAGGTCCTTTTCTCTTCCAGTAACTTCCAACTCTTATAGTGGTTGCTTGCAGCCTTGTTGGAAGTGAAGATGTTAAAAAAAAAAAAAAAAAAAAAATCTCTTTCTCTTTTGTACAAATACTAGCATAGTTGCTGCTTAAGCAAGCTCTTATTACTCAATCCATCAACTAAAAAAAAAAAATCTTGTGTGACTTGTCATTGTTCTTTCATTCATAAAAAAGTTTTATTCATCTAGTTTTTTTATGCAAACATCTGTGATTTAAAACTTTCTCACATCTTCATATTTTCCTGACATCTGTTCAACTTCTATGGATTGTTTTTTTTTTATGTTTAGCTCTTTGCTTTGATTTCTGTCAACTTCCAATTTAATTAGTGGTCACAGCTTTGTTGGGAGTAAATTTTAAAAAAAACTGTAAGACAGGTTAACACTGAAAAAGAGCATCTAAGTAGTAAAAAACTTTTTAACTCTTCATAATGCATAGATTATCCTAGTCATATTTTAAAAATCCGGAAAATGGTTTGGATAAAACATCCGAAAAAAATCTGGAACTTGTTTTCCCTTATTTTCTTTTTTATTTCGCTTTTAGTTAAGTTGTTTCTAATTTTTTTTTTGTTACTTTTTATAATTTTTTATAAGTGATGATTGAAAAAGCTTAAAAAATAAATATATTACAAAAATATATACCTCATCTTGCATGTATTGAAAATATTTTGGATATCCGAAAAACTAAAAATTGAAAAAAATATCCGGAACTCCGGAAATATCCGGAAAAAGATAATTCCTGATGTCATCTTTATAAAAAAAGTCACACAAGCCTTTCACTTATAGAAACCTAAAACACACAAGTGTGTAATCAAGGATGTTAAAGTTGAAAAATAATCGGAAAAAAAACAAACAACAGAAACCAAGAACATTTTCTTGGTTTCTGTTTTGTTTTTTTTTATTTAGATAATCAGTTTCCAAGTGAAAAAATAAAAAAATAATAACAAAATAATTTACCTGTTCTTCTTTTTCATCTGAAGATACATCTAAATCCTCATCGCCAAACAAATCTTGTGTAGTTGGCATATTTCTTGCATCTTCATCCTGATCTTCTTCTTCCTCCATTATTTCATTTTCTTCATTTACTGGTTCTATTGATGTTGCACCTTCCAAAAAGGAGTTACACAGCATTACTTTTGTTATAAATAGTGGAGCAGTGGCAAAGCACTTATCTTTAGTGCATAAAGTCACAAACCAAGCAGTACAACAATTAATTTGTTTTAGTATATTGGTTTTGCTTGCCAAGAATAATGTTGAGTTTATAGGGTTAAGATAGAAAAGGAAAATAAAATAATTCAACTATAGATTTCAAGCGAGAAATTTTTTTAGAACAGAGTTATAAACTAAGTACCTTTTAGTAAGACACTTTCATCATTAGAAAACACAATAATTACATTAAGTTTCTGAACTTTTATAATTTTATACTAATAATAATATTAAATAGATTTTTTATTTCAACTATTACACAAAAACTTATTACTTTTACTATTACGCAAAAACTTATTTGTTCGTTATCTCAAAATGATGCTTTTAGACTTTTCATTTGCATTTCCCTTGTATACTGATGATATATTGTTTTCTTTTATATTTTCATTTTTTATATCATAAATGTAAACAAAAAAAAATGTTTAAAAGTATTAAGTTTTTATGAAAAAACTTTTTTAATGATTTTCACAATCCTCTTTTTAAAAGCTGAATCGACTTTTTAATTGACAACTGTCTATAAAAAACACTAATATATTGTATTGAAAGTTTAAGTGTAATTAAGTATAAGTTTGAATACTTAAGTTTTTAAATACTTAAGTATTAACTTAACAAAAATCTTTAATTTTATAAGTAAAATAACTAAAAATACTTTTTAACTTTTTCATATTTATTTTTCACATAACTGTATTTTTCTTCACCTAATTTTATATTATAATTTTAATCATTAAATAAATTTTTATGTTTAAATTTTAAATAAATTTATAGTGATTTAAAAAGCTATTAAATATGATATTTAAAGCTTTAAAACATCATCAGCTATAAATAAAAAACTTATTTAAAGCTCACCAATTATTAACTATTAACTAATTTCTTTCAAATAGAGTATTAAAAGAACTTTTGTTGCAATATGCTATTTTATAATTTAAATAAGCAACAACGCTATTTAAGGACGTTGTTCTTCTAATCTTAACCATTTTCACTTAACTCTGATTTGGAACTATAATATTAGCACACATACTCATAAAACCTATGCAAATGCAAACCAAAAGACCAATTTATATTCAAGGTATTTACATAAAAATTACTCAAAATCTTGATTTAATCAACTGGTCAATTTTTTACAAAGATCTGAACATTGAGCCAATAGACTCAAAGTTTTTACATGCTTACTTAAATCTAATTAAATTATATATTCCTATGTTCAAAGAACAAACAATGATCCAACCTAAATGGTTTACCAAAGATTTGAGAAATTTAACTAAACTTAAATACAAGCTCTGGTTTAAAACATTCAGCTCGACTGATAAATCCAATGCTATCATCGAATTTAAACGAATCTCGAAAGAAGTTAAAAAACAAATCAAATTATCAGTAAGAAACTACGAAAAAGATTTACGAAAAAGATCAATCCTAATGGAAGTCTAACCCCATACTTTTGTACTCATACTTAAATGCTTAAAATAAAACAAAATTTAAAATCAAATCAATAAAACTCCTATCTGGCGAAGCTACTTTCGAACAACAGCAAATTACAAAACGGCTAAACAAACACTTTTATTCAGTTTTGGATAAAAATTGTTTGAATATCAATCATCGACTCCCCATTTTTAAATCAAGAACATCTAGCATCTACTTATTTTTTTTTTTTTTTTTTTTTAATTTTAATTCACCTCCTCAAGGCCGAGAAGGCCACTACAGACGAGGAGGCTACTTATTTGTGGTTATAACCCTCTCTCAACTCTCAACTCCGAAACACGAACCTTGACGAATAAGGCCGCTGCGCGGAGAAACGAGTTGAGCGCGGTACTACCAGGGACGTGGTGGGGATCGAACTCAGAACCACTCGTTTATGAAGCGAGCGCTCTACCACTACACCACTACCGCATCAATCTTCTCTCTTGATTTTGATAATAGATGTGCAGCTACAAAATCTTGACACACACAAGACTCCTGGTAGCAACAACATCCACCTTCAACCACTACACGATTGTCATTCCAGCCTCTCTGAAGCTCTTCTTCTAATCTTTGTTCATACTCTTTAAAATGGTACTCTTCCCATTTCTTGGAAATTTTTTTTTTTTTTTTAACATCTTCCCTTTCAACAAGGCTGCAAGCAACCACTAATTAGTGTTGGAAGTTACTGGAAGAGAAAAGATGAAGATTGTAGAGCAAGATAATGATTGACAGACGACTTAAAAGATTGCAAATTGTATGAATCAGGAAAGCAAGATGAAGGAAGCAAATTCCAAAGAACTGATGTTCGAGGAAAAAAACTAGACGAATAAGAGTTTTTGGAGCACTTAGGAACAGTAACAGAAAAAGGATGAGACTTGTATAAGACTTGATGAATGACAAGTAACATGAGAATGAATTTTAGTAGATGGCACAAGAGACCCTAGCTCTTTAGAGCAGTGCCCATTATAGTATTTGTAGAAAAGAGAAAGAGAAGCAACATTACAACGATGTGACAGAGGTTGAAGGTTGGCTGCAAGAGTAGATCCAACTATGTTTACAATGCATTTTTGCACCTTGTCTAAAAGAGAAAGGGCATCATTAGAAGAACCGCCCCAGATATGGAAACAGTATTCCATACAAGGTCGGATTTGGGATTTATAGAGATAGAGAATAGAATCCAGAGTAAGAAAGTGACGAGCTCGATAAAAAGAAGCAACTTTAGCAGATGCTAATTTTGCAACGGATTTGATATAAGGTTTCCAAGAAAGATCAGAAGTAAGAGTTAATCCTAGAAGATGAAGGGTAGATAACTCATCGATTACATCACCGTTCATAAATATAGGAAGGTCTAAATTATTGCGATAATGATTGGCTGAAAAAAATTGAGTTTTATCTGAGTTAAAGTTCACCAGCCACTGTGAGCCCCATACTGTAGCAGAAATCAGCCAACATCACTACAATTTTTAAAAAGGAGACAAACAAACAACTTCAAATTATTGACCTATCTCCCTCACATTCAAGGCGATCATTTAAAACATGGAATATAGAAACAATTTTAATATTTTTTTTTCTTTTATTCGTCCTCATCTAGAGTATGCTTTTTCCTGAAATAATGAACATGGCATACTATGAGAGACTTACAAAAATTGGTTTAAAAACATTAGAAGAAAAGCGTAATAGAGGTGATGCAATTCAATATTTTGAAATGATAAACAATTTCAACATTAGCAAACAATATTACCCAAACACAATTGCAAGCTCAATCGGTTTAGAAGGACCAGCGAGTGGAGTAAGGGGTTACCCTCATCTTATTTCTATGCAAGTTACAAAGAACTGCGCTCTAAGAGAAAATTTCTTTTCAAGTAGAATTATGCCTATGTGGAATTATTATTATATAAATATATATATATATATATATATATATATATATATATATATATATATATATATATATATTTATAATAAAGGAAGCACTACTAGACGCACTTAAAATATGAAATTGTTGATTTAGGTCGAAAAAAAATCATTTAAGTAGAAAAAGTGTATTTAATAGCGCAACTATATATATATATATAAATATATATATATATATATATATATATATATATATATATATATATATATATATATATATAAATATATATATATATATATATATATATATATTATATATATATATATATATATATATATATATATATATATATATATATATATATATATATATATATTTATATATATATATATATATATATATATATATATATATATATATATATATATATATATATATATATATATATATATATATATATATATATATATATATAGAGAGAGAGAGAGAGAGAGAGAGATACACATATCAGGCCTTGTTTTAAATTAAAAAATGCTTAACCCAATAGCCGAATGTGAATTAGGTTATTGGGTTAAACATTTTTTTAAAAAATTCTCTTTATTTTTTAATTTTTTAAAGACATTAACCTTTTTCAATGACTACAGTAATATTAATTACTGCAAAACAAATCAAATATTATTTAACTTCTTTTCTATTATTACTATAAGGTAATGTTTATTTTATTATTATTATTTTTTTAATATTAAATAATTAAATTTAATATTACATTTTAAAAAATGTTTGATATTAACAAATTTCTTTCTTTTATGGACATTTGCATAAATGAATTAAAATATGTTAAATTTTTGAATTTTTAAATAATTATTTCTTAAATTTCTAATAGCCACTTTGCAACTACATATGATTTTTTATTTAAAAAAAAAAAGAGTAAGAAATAAAAAATAATAATTATTAAAAAGTTGTTATTTTATCAACAATTTTGTTGTGAAAGCAAAGAGTATATTTCCCAATATCTTTTATTAAAATTAAACTTGAGTAATAAAATAACAAATTTAATTTACGTTTTGTGCAAACTTTTGATGCAGTTATTTATTTAAAATTTAATTTTGAGTAAAAAAAAGTGTTGAGGAAGGAAAACCGAAAAAACGATTGCAATAAAAATGAGCTAAGTTTTTATAAAGAATAAATGAAATTTAAATATTGAACAATATTTAGTGTTTAAACTATATAAAAAAGAGCGTTGGTTTGACGAGAAGAGAAAAGCAATTAAATCATTTTTTCTTTTTTTTTAAAGTCTAAATAAAAATATTTATATGATTATTTTTTATTTATTCATGTATTTTTTTTAAACTTGGTTGTAAAAAACTTAACCCTTGGAATTAGAAAAACCTTTTAGAGGTCGGCAGCAGGTTGGCAAAAGAAAATTTGATGCAAAGGTCTTACCATAAAAGATAGAAACGAGGTCTGCAACTTTTTGCCGACCTCAATCACTTTTAGGTTGAAAACCCCTTATTTAAACCCTAGCCCGGCCTCGAACCCTGGTCACCACCTATTCAGGAGGAGGAGATATAATTTTGTACTATCTTTCTCAATCAAAATTAGAGTTGTGGAGGAAGTTGTAACAAAAGGAGGAAGTTGTAACAAAAGGAGGAAGTTGTTACAAAAGGAGGAGAAATGATTATAAAACATACTATTTGCACGAAAAATTTAGCATAATAAACTTGTTAAACTTTTCAAGTCAATTGACAAATCAAGTTTTTGTCCAGATGAAATAAATGAAAAAAGATAAGGAAGCAAGGGAGGGGGGGGAGGAAGAGAGGGTATTAATAAACAGGAAGGTAGGAATTTTTTTATTTATTTCTAAGTGAGTTTATATTTTCAAATTCTTAAAACCTAAAACAGTCACAAAAAATAGAAAAAAATTTTTTTTTTTAGTTTTAAGATACAATTTCCTTATTCATAACAACTAAAATTTAATAAATAGGTAGAAGCGGGTAAGGTGAGCTCAGAATGGGTTAAAATTATCAAACATCAACTTCTGTGTGTTAAGCATTTAGAACCTTTTTTTTCCTTTTATTCTTTATAATTCCTGTTTGGTAAGTAACAAACTCATGTGATTTTGATAATGTTTTTATTTTTTTTTTCTGTTTAAGAAAAGACCATACTCCAATTCTTTTTAACAACTTTAACTAAATTATTCAGGACATCTAAAATAAAATTGAGCTACATCAGCATTTTTGTAATTAAACTCATCCAAGTAAAATTGCAATCAAGGTCAAAATTACAGGTGTTATGTTTATTTTTAAATGTTTTAAGTTGTTTAATTGGATTCCTTGCCTCAAAATATTTAAGTGTACACATTTTCAGCTTTCTATTGCACACAGAACAGAAACAAAGAACAAAACCATTTTTTTAATTTTGATTTACATTACATTAAGAATGCCATATTGCACATTGTGTTATTTAAAATATACAAGCATTATTTGAGTCAAAGAAAATGTGATAGCTTGATTTATTATTTTAAACTTTATATTACAAAGACATTGTATAATTAAAGATGTATAAGCACTTCTTTAACTTATTTTAAATTAAAGACAAAATGTAAAATTAAAACAATAAAAATTAAAATAAATAAATTTAAAATTGAATAAAGGATCCTTTCTTTTTTTTCTTTTTTTTTTTTTTTTTTCCAATCTTTTTGAACAGAATAAAAATTAAATTAATATAACTAAAGTCCTTTAATTTTTGAAACTATTAATATTTCTTAACTAAAAGTATAAAATATATAAAGCAATTTCTTTCACAAAAAATTCAACACAGCAACACAACAACAACATCAAAAAATGTTTTTGTTGTTTTCTTTCTTCCAGAATATTGGAAGTCCATGCCTTTACCTTACATTGTTTTAATTAAAACAAGCACAAGTACAATACTACTAGGTACATTGGGTACTCTCAAGAACTTTCACGCTGAAGCAAAAAAGTGTCCTACTATTGAAATATTCTATTTTGTGTTTGAAAAAAATCTTTTTTTTATGCACAAATAAAATAAAAATAAATCTTTTTCCTTACTTCTTGCATCATTATCCTGATCTTCATCGTCATCGTCATCTAAACCACCAAAAAGTTCATCCATATGTTGTTGTGTTGAAGGTAACTGTTCAACCTCATTAAGAGTTGACTGATTTTCATTGTCACTGTTCTCGCTACCACTACCAAATAGATCTTGAAGAGACATTGATTCTAGTAACTGCACACTAAAGTATCAGATTATTTAAATTGTTTATAAACAATATTTTTTTAATTACATTTTTTAAATTAAATCAACTAAAACAAACAAAAATATCAATAACAAATTAATAAATTATTTGGTATAATAAATATATAAAAACTACTAACCTTTTATTTTATGTAGTTGGTACTGGTTAGTTAACTAAATAATTTAAAACAAAACTAAGTATTAAATTATTTCATTGTGTAAAGTAATATGTCTAAACTGTTGTCAGTTATTTTTATCAGTTATATTTCATTCATTTTTGGATTGATTAAAGTTATTAAACTTGAACATCAAGTAAAAATAAAATTTGAAAAAAATAAAAAAATAAAAATAAAAAAAAACAAGAAAGATAAAATAATAAATTAAGTTATGCATATACAATTGGATATATTATGTACCAGTTGTGCATCAGTGAGACAAACATGACTTAGGCATCAGCACTAAAATCATATTAAAATGTCTGAGCAAAAAACAAAATTTTAATATTTTTCCAATAAATAAAAAAAGTTGTGATAAAAATCAATAGATTTTATTAAAAATACTCCTTATAAAAAAAAAAGTTGAGAAGTTAACAATGAAATTTATTTAATGTTAATCTTTACAGTGACAAATTTAGAAATCAACTTTTACCCTTAAATTCTATAACACAATTTTGGAGACTCAGAGATCATTGATAAAAGAGTCTAAACTAATCACTGATGTAAATCTTCTTGACACACCAAATATCAAGAATATTCTTAATATTCACAATTATGTTAAACTTTTTAGATTTTTTAATGAAAGAAACAGCTAGTTTAAAAGAGTTGATCTTATGTCATATTATATTGAAATTGCATTCCTAATTTTCAGTTACTTTCTGCACTAGCTTACTATGATGGCTGACACTAAATGTGAAACAAACTGAGTAACTCTGAAATAGTCAAACCTCAATAAAAAAATTAAGTGTGTACATATATATATATATATATATATATATATATATATATATATATATATATATATATATATATATATATATATATATATATATATATATATATATATATATATATATATATATATATATATACATTTATATATATATATATATATATATATATATATATATATATATATATATATATATACAACTGTGACCGCGCAGATCGTAGTTGTTTTTGTTATTTACAATAATTGAGTTATTATGATTAATCCAATTAACTATATCATGTCCATTTAGAATTTTGTACTGTTGTATTAAATCTCCACGTAAACGTCGTTCTTCTAAAGTTATTAGTTGTAATATTTCTAGTCTCTTTTCATACGGTACTTTCTTCAGAGCTGGAACTAACTTTGTTGTGCGCCAATTTTTTCTAATTTTTCCATGTCCTGCTTGAGGTTATGAGACCATACTTGTATAGCAAATTCCAAATGTGGACGAACAAATATTGTATAGAGCCTTTTGACTATATCTACATCGAAATACTTAAACGTACGTTTCATCATTCCAAGTACTGAGTTTGCTTTACTTACTACCATTTCCACTTATGAGGCCCTTTTTAAATTCAAACATACCATAATACCAAGGTCACGTTCTATATTTGACTCTTCTGATACATGGTGATAATCTGGTTTTAGAAAAATCTCAATTTAAAGTTGACCGGATTTTTCCGTGTCCACCTGATACTTGGTCTATCTGTACATATCACTAAGAAAGTACTTTTTTTAACTTTTTACATATAAATACATATATGCTTGTATTTGTATGGAAAATAAAAAATTTCAATGATGAAATAATTTTTCAAATAAAAAAAAACAAGCACTTGCTTTGCTGAAGTTTTTAAAAAAATTTAAAGGAAACTGAAAATTGGATGGAAAAACCACTCATCTATAAATGCTAATTAAACATCAATGCCATTGGTTAGAAACCCAAGAATGGTAATGAAAAGTTACCTGTTTGGTTAGAACTCTATCATGAAAGATATGCCTTACTCTAGAGAGGGACATACCTCTCATGATAGAGATATGCCCCTCAGAGAGCTCTCTTAATACATAGAAAAACATTAGACATTTTATTACATGAACTGAGAAAATGGAGCTTATTGCCCCATAGGGCTTAATCCCCCCTGTTACTCTTTATATATATATATACAGGTACGTAGAAATCCCTTTTTATGAAGCCAAACTTTGTGCTTTTCTGTGCCAGGATTTTTTCAACTTTTTTTAAGGTAGCGTCAGACAAACGTTTTTTTGATGTTTCTTTTTAGAAACAAATATAAACGTAGATTATTTTTAAAAATAAGAAAGGTATAACTTCATTTTTATATAAATTTTATTTATGGTTACAAACCTTTTTCATTGATTTTTTTGCTCACAAAAATTTCATTGATCTACTGATGTCAATACTTTGTTGAATTAAAGCTGAGCTTTAATTCAACAAAATATTAACATCAGTAAATTTTAAAAATTTTAAAACCCTATAGCCCATTTTCTACATTAATTTTTTTTGCACATGCCAAATTTCAGGAAAAAATATTATGTAGCAGATAGTTTAAAAAATGTAGCACTTTTGGTACTTAATTTCTGTTTTTCAGAAATCAGTAACATCGGACAAGGGGGGGGGGCAGATTTGTTTACAGTTTTTTTAAAAACTTATTATTTTACTTAGGTTATAATAACTTTTGCAATGGAAAATAAATAATACTTTCTACATAGTAAGTTCTTTATCATATGATTACTTAATAAAAAAAAACTTTAACTAAGAATCTACTTCATCATATTTTAGTTGTAAACTTTTATGATTTTTATAGATGAAGATTTTACCAAAATTTTTACATAAAAGTCATTTGACTGCATTAAAATACTATAAGTAATATACTAGTTTTAATAATATTAGTTTTAAGCAGTATAAACTTTTTTAAAGTAATAGTATTGACAATAGTTCATTATAATACAATACTATTGCCAATACTTTGACAGTTATTTTATAGTAGTACTTTAAAATAACAATTAAAGTATTGTATTGTCAATAACTCAAAAATTGTTCTATGCAATCTATTTAAAATTACTAGTCAATCTTTTTATCTTAAATTGCAAAAATTTAACATTTGACTTCTCTGAGTACTGACTATTGCTTACTAATCAATTACTTTTAGATACTGAAGAAAGTCAACAGAAGTAAAACAAAGTAATATTTACATTATTTATTGATGTGACAATCTTTTATTGTTTATTATTTTTAATTTTTAATTTTATTAAGAATTACCATTTGTAAATTATACAAATCGCATACTTTATACAATAAAGATGCAACATTTGCATAGGTTTACATTAATAAATTATTGATGTAAACCTAAGAAGCTAGTATGTAAATGTTATTAAAATATTATTTGTTTAATTCTGTTTATATATTACATACCAATTTCAAAACGAGTTTGATATTTATAAAACTTTTTGTTTATTAATGTATACCTAAAAAGTTAACATGTAAATAATTTTAAAATATTACAATTCTTTTTATTTAATGCAAATTGCATTAATAACAAATATGTTGTTTAGATGCACAAGTTCTGCTAACAAATTTTATGAAGATAAGTAAGTATTGACATTTTCATTTGTGTATTCTTTTTTATAATTTTTTTTTTAACTTGTTTTTTGCTGTGTTAAAACTTATTGTTATTATATTTATTAATTTTTTAGGAAAGTTTTTTATTTTGGGTGTTTTTTAAGTAAAATTACTGTGTATTTATTAAATCAAATTTTAATGAGAGCCTTTCCTGCGTAAAATCTTTCTTTTAACTATTTTCATAAGCACTTTGATCTAAAGGTTTGTTTACGCCTTGTAGTCATCTAATAAAAATAAAACACAACACAGAATATGTTCTATTATAATGTGTATATATATATATATATATATATATATATATATATATATATATATATATATATATATATATATATATGTATATATATATATAACAACTCTTGGAATTAGGAAAAATGAGGTCGGCAATAATGCCGAATTCAGTGTTTTTGAGGTCGGCATTAGGTCGGCAAAAATTATTTGATAGAAAAGTGTGACCATAAAACATAGAAACGAGGTCGACAATTTTTTGCTGACCTCAAACACTTTCAGGTCAGCAGTTAGGTCGCCATTGCCAAATGCTGACCCTAATTCTGAGGGTTGATATATATAGAAAAATTTAAGTGATTTGTTGGTTCGCTACTTTTTTATCTTATAATTTTTAGTTGCGTACACTCTTGCTACTACTGGTAAGTTTATTCAACAACTTCTTGAATTGACTGTGCATATCATGCTGAATTTAATGTTGTTTTTTAGTTTATTATGAATTTCCTTATTATTTTTAGTCCTACCTGCACCACTTAATGCTGGTAAGATTACAAATAATGAGTTGTTAATATGTTGTCTTTAACACTCTATAAACATTAAATACTGATTTCTTAAAAAAAAAAAATTTATCATACTTTTTGTGATCATTAGGCCCATCTGCACCTGTTATGACTGGTAGGTTTATAAATGTTTACTTTTTCATTTGTATATACATTACATGCCAATTTCTTAAAATATTTATAGTGATGACCTTGTGGTGCCTATTTTTAAAAATGATTTAATTTTATTAATTAATAGAAGTTAAAAATTAAATCATTCACTAAAAGCCAAGACAAAAGTTGTATTTCAAAAGACATGATGTCTTTGAGTGAGTTTTTTTTTAGGTTGGAGTGAGTAATCTGTCCCTTTACATGACAAAATGAATACTCAAAAACATCTTGTAAAGTGGTAAAACAGTTTTTTATACTAATTTCTCTCTGTTTAAAAAAGCATTTAACATTTTTGTGAAATTCTCATTTTTTTTAGGGTTTGGGGCAAAGGGGGGCGGCATACACCCCCTTCCATAAAAGCAATTTATACACCACTAGTTACTATTTTTCAAAGTTGTGAAATATAATTTTTATTTTTTATAATAGATTTACTTATTTTAGTAATGATTGAAATAATTAAAAAAATGAATTTTTGATAAGGTGTGTTAAACCTTATTCACAACCTAACACCCAACTTTAATATAGACCTGTAATATTAGCTTGTGATGTGGAATAAAATAATAACAACTTGTTATACATAAAAATTACCATTTTCATAAAAAAACATTCTTTTATGAAAAAAAAGTGTATTTTTGTGAGATTAGGGTGGTGGATTGGCACCCCCTCTGAATCCCTCGATGCACCCTTTACCTAAAAACTAGTTTAAAATTATAGCCTATTTTTACATCTATCTGCTGATACCAAGTTAAGATATTTAAACAAGAATTGGCAAAGTTTTAACAATTTATGTGAAAAAAAAAATTTTTTTGACCATAGTTTATCAAGAAATCCATATATCGAAAATTTGCTACTAAAAACGTCATAACTTTTTACAGAATTGTCCTATTTTCATAATTTTTCTCCCTTAAAATACTGTATTTGAGGGCTTTCTAATGATATATAAAATTTAAGTATTTGATCAATTTAAAAAAATCAGTCCACATATCTAATATATGTGTACATATCTAATATATATATACATATATATATATATATATATACATATACATATACATATACATATATATATATATATATATATATATATATATATATATATATATATATATATATATATATATATATATATATATATATATATTTATATGTATATGTATATTATATATATATATATATATATATATATATATATATATATATATATATATATATATATATATATATATATATACATATATATATATATATATATATATATATATATATATATATATATATATATATATATATATATATATATATATATATATATATATATATATATATATATATATATATATATATATATATATATATATATATATATATATATATATATATATATATATATATATATATATATATATATTTGGCGGAGGTGTATTTCGTGAATCAAATACACCTCCGCCATATATTTTAATTCGCAGAAAGTCTGCAGAAAGTGTAAGTGTAGTTTTTTCTCCACAAAAAAAAGAGGAGAGTAAACAAAGAAGAAAAATTGTCATTTCATTGATAAGCAACATAAGCTATATATAACTTACTTAAAAAGGAGAGCTCTAAGTTACTCACCTAATTATTTGACTTAGAATTGCTTCTTTCCCGGCGTGAATCTGCCATTTTGAATCTCAAAAAAACTTGTTCCTTACGGTAAAGTCATTAAAATTGCCCATTTAAAAATATAGATAGTTAAAAATTATAAAAATTTACATACACATATGACCTTACAACAGTGCCGGATGAGGGGGGATAGGAGGGCTATAGACCCAGGCCTCGCAAATTTAGGAGCCCCCTAAAATTTTAGAGAACCTACACCGACTGATTTTTAGAGAGTACATGCAGCGGAGTGTGCAAACAACGACTGAGGGTTTGGGGTAGGCAGGTTCTCTTTTAAATAAAGAAGTCGTTTTTTTACATTTTCGGACCTTCTTTTTTTTTTTTAGTTAATTTTAGGCTCTGGCCTATAAAAAGGCCTCCAAAAACAAAAATGTAGCCCCGGGCCCTAAGAAGTCTTAATCCGCCACTGCCATTCAAACATGGTAAAATTAAATTTGAAAAAAGTATATAGTTTTCCGCAAAACAGTACAGGTGTTTAAAAAAATAAAAGTAAAGACTTATGCTTTAAAAAAATAACTACCCTTCATTATTGACGACTTTTTCTAAAAACAAATTAGAAATAGACATTTACTATAACATTTTAAATGTTAGTTTGATTTAGTTGACATTAAAGATAAAATTTTCGCGATTAATATGCGCATGCTAATCGCGAAAATTTTATCTTTAATATTTTCTGATTTATTTATGTTTACTGAAATTTTTATCTTAAATGTTTAAGCATTTGCTTTCTATTATAAATTGCTTATTTTTTAAAGAATAGCGCTTTATAATGATGTCACACTGGACAAATAGGGTTGAGGGTTTGGTTGATTTAAAAACATCTATCATTCAATTTCAGTAATTGTAATCTTTACAAAGCTAATTTTTTATATTTAAAACTATTGTCTGTTTGTTTTTGATATATTTAAAACAGTATTTTGAAATCAAATTATTTTTTGGAATAATCCAACTCAAACTTATATTATTAAATTATAAGCGGCAAAAATTACCTAACTATTAACAACATGTTCATTAAGCTTTTGTGCTTATACTGTGCATCAAATGGGTTTTTTATGGTCAAGGAATTCAAATTAGTAACTTAAAATTGTTTTCACATGCACTTATTACCCGTATAACGTACTTGTACGCGTCAAAACGCGCGTTAGAGGACTTTGTATTTGTAAATAACATTTTTAGTAAAAAACTTTGCTTCCTTGACCCAAACGCTCGCGCACACGTTTAACACTCACACACGCGTTGAATGCGCGCGAATTTACTAAATGCGCGCAGACGCATAACAAAGCGCGTCATGAGTCTTTAACGCAATCTATAATACAAAAATAAACAAGTCAGAATATTAAATTTTTTTTACAATTTAAATTACTAATAAGTTCACTTCTTCTGAAGGCAAAGTTCTGTCTTGATAACTCCTTTGTTTTGAAAATGAAATGCTTGAGATTTTTGGATCCGATCTAATTAAAAGGTACTGCATCTGATCTTTCATTGTGTTAATTTTTGATATTTTTGTTGTATAATGCAACCTTACATTTCGGATTTGCTTGTTTAGACTTTCCTGAGCTTCCTCAGAGTATTGGCAAATAGGCAAATCAAATTGCTTTGAAATGGAGGAACCATGTATCAGAATTTTGTGAACACTGGGTGGCATTACATACCAACCATATTTATTAACTATAATTTTAGCTGTATCAGTACAATAAACTTCAAATTGATTACTATCAATATGGTAACCAGAAGATAATGTAATAAGGACAATAAGCATTCTCATTATAACTCATTATAACCGTATCGAACCCTGTTATTTCAGAGAAAATCACAGAGTTCTCAAATGCTCTTCTTGAAGTATTTCCATCATTGCTATTACCAAAGCCTACTTTGGGTTGGTCAACACTGAGACTCAACTTTTCTCTGAACTTTGATTTAATAAAATTCTTCTTTAAATTTACAATAAGCTTCTCTTCTTCAGTTCTGGCTTGAAAGTTCTGGATTTCCATTTTATAACCTAAATTTAAGATGAATTCAAAAGATCTTATCCAACAGTGCAATATTGAAATACCTAGTTTAAGGGCTTTCTCATTAACAGGCTTTTTTTTAAATAAATCTATATCATTCATCTCTTTGGGCTTACAACCAGGCGCATTACAAGACTGAGTTGACTTAATAATAAAAGTTAATCTAAGTCACTATGCGCCAGTTCATTTTTTAGAACAAACACAAAATATATAATAAATATATACAAAAATATAAAATAAAAAGACCCTTAAACCACAGTGAGAGATTTTTTATAAAATTTACAATAACGCAACTGCTTTAAACGTTAGAAATTCTTTAAAAACCTAATAGAATTTTTTTTAAATGAATTTAAAATAAAAAATAAATTTAAATGTGTAAAAAAAAAAAAAATTTGAAAAACTTTTATGCTTTGAGGTAAATTTAGGTTGTTCCAGTCGTTTAATGCGAATTGAATTTGACTCGTATAAGGACCTTCTATTATTAAAAATGCTATTTTATTTTTATTTAACGTATGCAACTTTTTTTATTACTGCTAATTACATTGTTAATTATCATTATTGTAAAAAAAAGTAATTTTAAAGTTATAAAATGTTTTTAATCAAAATATTTCGAAATTTTTAAACTTTAATCATCACGATGGCATTGTTAAAACTAAGTGAGTCAATTAAATAAGTAATTATGAGTTGATTTCAACTTTGCATTTTGAATGAATAAATCTTTAAATTGGGACACTGATTAACTTATTAAATAATTTAAATATAATTAAAAAATTATTTTGATAGAAGGTGAAGGTTATTCATAAATTTCTTAAACCAGTAGGAGATCTTCGCTGGAGTTTGTAAAAATGAAAAAAATGTCATAAATAAAACGTTTGTAAAATGTATAGACATGTTAGGCTTTTCTAACATGTCTATACACTGAAAAATCGACTTGACTTTTTCTATTACATCTGCTTATGACGAGAGAAATTTTAGTAGACTAAAGATTATCAAAAATAATGAGAGCATTGAATTTGAAAGCAGGCGCCCGTAAGACGTCAAAACAACGCCTTATAGACGCCACAAGTCCATAAGATGTTCTTAAGACCTCCAACAAACGTTCTGTACCCGCTGAAAATGCAATATTGCAGAAAAAAGTTTGTATAAACTAGCAAGAAAGTAAATTTCTTTCCTAATGCTTTTTTTCAATTTAAATCTGATGTTGTAAGTTAATTACTTTATTTTGGTTAACAATGTTAACCAAAATAAAGTTAGTTAATTTAATGTCTTAAACGTATTTAATGGTTATGATAAAAGGCACATAAAAGCATCAATAAAATATATTTATCACAAGTGCGATTCTCGAAAAATGTTTCAGGGGTTAATGTGCCACTCCGAACCCCTATCACTCCCTACTCATTCTTCAGCACCTCCCCCCCCCCCCCCCCACGACACTAAATCTCAATCCGCCACTGGTAATTAGGGCGAATTAGTAAAACTTTCTAAAGTTTAAATTTATTATACTCAAGAAATTTATATTAATAAGTTATTTGGTAACCTGTAAAAAAATCGTTGTTAATTTTATTTTTTTAGTTTATTATGAAAAAATATTTCAAGCGTAATTTCAAATAAAATTTAACAAATAAACAACTTTAAACCCAAAACAAAAAATTAAAATTAAAAATGCAAAAAGAAACATCCCATAAAATACTTTTTTTATTTCTGCTTGTTTTGTTTTTTTTTTGTTTAAAATTTATGTATTTTTCTTAAATTAATAAAATTTTTCTTAAACTGATTAAAATAAAAAACTTTTAAGACATAAGAGCGTAGATATAAAAGATATAAAAATGTAGCAAACAAAATAAAACATAAAACTTTAATTGTAAACTTTTTATGGTTCGAAATTGAAACACTGAGCCTACAATAATAAAATTAAAAATGAATTCCATGAAAAAGACTTAGTTGATTAGCGACTTGATAGATTCTCCCTGTTTTTTCCTTACTCTTGCCTATCTGTAACTATTTCAAAAATAAAATCATAAAGATTTACTTCAAAATCTTAAAAATTTCCAACAAGTTTTAAGCAGTGAATTTGCAGTGAAAATAGTTTCATTGTTCATGAGAGTTTTACTCAACAGTTACTTGTGAAAGCGGCTTCGATAAAAGTGGCCAGCCAATAAATTTCCAACATGTGATTTTTTGAGTATATTACTCATTACATATTTTTATATGCTGTAATATTTTTTTTGTACTGACTGTAACATTTTGCTCTTGCTAATGAGATTCCATAAATCTTTCAAAGCAATTATGCATGTTAGTGTAGGAAACTTTGTCTTGAAAGCAGATGTTAATGTTTTATAAATATCAGTTCTGACTTACATTTTTATCAGAAACTTTAGTTTTAAATACATAATATCAACCCACTTCCAAATAGCTAATTACTGTAGTCTTACTGATATTACATATATAAGCAAGCATTTTAAAAGTAAGGTTATATTTTAATTTTATCAAAGTCAACAATATTTGATCATTTAAAGCTAACTTATTACAATAATTTTTTCATCTTCACTTAATTTATCATTACTAACAAATTATAAACCTGTTAGCATTTTTCAAGATTTTTTTTCAGCATCTCAATTGTAAATGGAGCACATATGTTCTTGTCTCCAAATACTAATTCTTTCACATATTACTATTAAACTATCTATTTCCTTATAAAAAATTTCTCTTTCTAGCAAAGTAACTGGAATTAGTGATAATATCAAAGATTGCACAGCTTAGAAGTGTAATGTTATTTCGAGGAGTTAACGAGCTTTAGAAGCATAAAAAATCTGTTGGTCTGCCTTCCGACTCATCTTTTGCATTGAAATCAGTTTATAATTCAAACATTTTTGTTAAAGCTAAAAATTATTAGATAAAAAAATTATTATTTGATGCAATTTTTCGCATCAAATAATAATTTATTTCAGGAAATTAAAAAGAATATAAAAAAAAAGAGTGTAAAAGTTGAAATAAAAAACAAAAAGCAATATTTCAAAAACATATTTACTATAAACTAAATAAAAATTATCAAAGAATTGCTAATTTTATAAAATTTAACATAAAATTCTTGTATTTAAATAATTTTAATATAATTACAACTTTAATTTAGTAAAGCAAATAAAAGATTATTAAACACAGTATATCATAATAATATATTATTATGATATACTGTTATATATTGTTGTTATTATTAACAGCAATATATAATTGTTCATATATTTTTTATACAACTTCTATGCAGATTTTGTACGTTGTTTTCTTTTAATGTTTTATTTTAATGACTAAAAAACTATAAAATATGTGTAGTGAAAAAAATATATACACTTAACAATCGTTAAACTATGTTGTATAATTGTGGAGTGTATTAGAGTATAAATGTCTAATGTGTAACGAAAAATATATAAAATTTACAGTCAATAAACTATGTTGTATAAACCTAACTTGTTTAGCTAACTATTTTTGCCTTATCTTTTATTTGTCAAGCCCCGTATATCTAAAAAATGATGTTTTTTTTTTAAATTTGTTTTCGTCCATATTGCTATATCTACCTAATATTATAATTATTACTTTGAAAAAATTTTAAATAAGTAAAAGTAAACAAAAAAATATATGCTGGTAATAGTACTGGTAATAAATTTTAAAACACTGCTTTTAGTCTACGGTTATCGAACGAAAGTATCACTCAAAAGGCGATCAAAGTCCACATGAAAATTATACGTAATTATGCGGAAATTACTTATGTCAAATTAAATAAAATATGCTAAAAAATGCTTCGAAAGCACATGTTGTTACTCTTACAGCTTACAACTCTTACAGCCGCGAAGGTACGAAAGTAAACTTCAATATTGTTTTAATTGTTACTGTATTATCTGTTTTAAAACCGTTAATCTAATTGTGATTTGTTTTGTCAATATTACGGTGCCTTGTTTTCATAACATTCAACTCTTCATTGGCTTTGATTTAGTTAACATTTTTGTGTAAATAGAATAATGTCAATAAGGTAAATAATTCTATAAAATGTATTTGCTTGTAATACAAGCTGCTTGTCAAGCAAAAAAATACAAGTTGTATTTTTTTAATAATTATGAACGGTTTTTTTTTATCTATTGCAAGATGCAGGACATTTTTTATAGCTATTTACATTTTTAGAGCTATTTATACAGAATTTTTAGAGCTATTTACATTTTTAATTTAAAGTTAGTGATAATCTAAAAAATACATCATTGGTTTAGCAAATTGATAATATTAGCAAAACATCTTCCATATACAGACAATACTTAAATTAGGTTTATGGACACTTGAACAACAATGACACAGATTTGATCTAAAAGAAGTATACAAGATAATGTATGAGTTTTATAGACTTTTGTATAAGATATTTTTTGAATCAGTGAAAAACAAAAGAAGTAATGGCAACCTATTTGGTTTGCTAAAGCACAATTTCCTTAACTCAAATCAGATAATATTTTTTCTTGGATCATGTAATTGACCACTGGATCTTATTTTATATCAATACTATCTCATTTCATTTTTCAGAATTTTTTTTAAAGCATGACTCAACAAGTTAGATATTAAAAAAATGGATTTTGTCATAGACTAACATCTACGTAGTTTGTTATGCCATAATGACATTATTACATAACTAATGACACCATTAGTAACTAATAAAAAAATAAATAATCTTTTTATATATATGTTGCTAGTTATATTTTATTTTCAACTTTTAAAGTTATATTGCCATGCTTTATATATGCAACATGGGGTTTAGATTTTGGTTTTACAGAGCCTGGAATTCAGAATACTAGTAACACAATGATTTGAATTTGCAGCCTTTTACTTTAGCTCTGCCACGTGTATCCTTATCAGCTTCTAAAACTGAACATCATTTAAATGATTAGTTTTACTTATTTGCTCTCCTCATCACAAAGTTTATTGATGAATTTTAATTATTAATCAAAATCACTAAAGTAAAAAAGCCAAAGCTACTATGCATTATTCTGGATTATTATATTATTTTGTTTAGCTCTGGTTCAGATTTGTCTGATTATGAAGACATTACTGATACATTATATAAAGTAGAAGAAAACACTACAACTTTGAAAGGTTTTTTTTTTTTTTTTTTTTTTTTTGCATTATTTGATATGATTATTAATATAATTTAATATCTCAATGAGTTTAAAGTTTTAGATAACACCAAGCCCTGCATTTGCGATTTATTTGAGGAAGCTACTCGATTTCTTCATAGTTATGAAATCATTAATTCTGTTAGGTTTGCTGCCCTTTACACTCCATAGAGCTTTGAAAGTTCAGGTATAGTATATATTTTTAACTGAAGCTAACATCTGGAAAAGCAATGATATTTGCTATTATGAACAGGCTTGGTCGGGAAGCGGGAGCGATCGCTCTCGAATACTGACCACGGAAATTATATTTAGTTGCGAAAATCTGGCCACGTTATTCAGTCGTTTTGAGAACATTCAAGTTTATTATATTTATTCTTTTAAACACCCAATAATTACATAAACTATAGGTAAAAGTATTAAAAAAAAAAAAACAAAGCACATTTAAGTATTTTCTTGCATCGTTCTTGGAATGTTTTCCTCCATCAGCGTTCTAAATACTTCTCTTTGTTCCTTTAAATTCCAGTGTTGGAACGATTGTTTTAAGATCGCCGCAACATTGGCCTCCAATGCTTCCTGAGGGCGTGCAATTATAATTTTCTTACCCTCGATCATAAATTGGAGCATGTTTATATCAGCTTTCTTACACATTATCATTACCTCACCCACAAATGATCGTTGATTCATTAAAGGCATCTGAGTCCGTATAATCGAGTAACATATGGGGTTGTTTAAAAGCCTGATAAATAGATTTAACTTGTTGCGAAAAAGAATGTCTGACACAGCGTCTACTTTGAAATAAGAATGTAGATAATTTCTACTTTGCTTTGAAATATTAAAGAAGGATTTTAAGACAGATCGTCCAGCTATATCAATGCTATTTAGAAACTTATTGCTGCTTCCACACAGTTCTAATCCGTATAACAACGTTGGAACAGCTAAAGAATTAAATAAATGAACTATGGTAGCAGGCTGGCAAAAGCGAAGTCCATTTCTTATAAGACCTTTTGCAACAGATAAAAATTGCGTTACACGTTCAGTTATATTTTGTTTTTGGAGTGTTGCTGTCATTTTTTTGTTCTTATTATCCCAAAGGAAACCAAGATGTTTTAGATTGTTTTGAGGCTTGATAGGATCACCGTTAATATAAATAACGTTAATTAAAATCGAACTTATTCCAGATATTAGAAATTCAGTTTTTTCTGTATTCAGTTTAATAAAGTTCGATAGTCCATACTTTTGAACAATGTTAATAAGGCTCTGAAGACCAGATATAGTGGAACTTTGTAAAACTATATCATCAGCATATGCAATGATACCTGTGTATACACCATTTATTGAAGTTCCAACTTTTGATTCTGAAACAATTTTCTCTAGAAGGTTCTCTGTGTAGATATTGTAGAGATGAGGCGACAGTATGGATCCTTGACGCACTCCCTGAGACAGCCTAAATTTGTTTGATGTACATCCAAGATATGATATATTAGAAGTTCCTGTTTGATATAGTGATAATATTGTATGAACTATAGATAATGGGATTTTTTTCTGGTAATAGAGTTTCTCGAATAGTAATTCCCAATTACAACTGTCAAAAGCTTTGTTGGCGTCTAGACTGCATATATATAGCGGTGAGTTATTATGATTATAGTGCTTTATTGTTTCACTCAGAAGAAATTCTGCGTGGAGGGTAGAGCTGTTTTCTTTAAAACCGAATTGATGGGAATGACTTTCTGTTATATCTGGACATATGTGTATGATAAGATATTCGAGAAGTTTTGTAAAAATTGGTATAATGCTGATTCCTCGATAGTTATTTGGATTTTCTAGTGATGTTTTATAAGACTTGACTAATGGGATAATTTTGGCGGTTGATAAACCGTGTGGAACCTTTCCATTTGTTAACATATTGTTATAAAACGACGAAAGTAAAATAAGAAGATTCTTGTTGTGAGAGTTTTTAAGATGTTCAGCACTGATTTCATAGCAATCGTAAGATTTATTATTTTTAAGCTTTAAAATACATTTTTCAATATCAGCTGTCGAGATAACTTTTGAATTAGGCTCTTTACTTAAATGTGGAATTTGGAGAGGATTGAACTCGTTATTTGTATATTGCGGTGTATTAAGTAGTTTTTGGAAATGATGACTAAATTCTTCGACGATTTCGTTTTTGTTCTGCAATTTATTAATTGTAAAGAGTCGATTGTTAGTATTTTTTTTGATTTTTCGAATATTACCCCAAAACCTTTGAGGATTTGTATTGCGTAAGTGTTCTATATTTTTAGTTTTTTCGTGAATTTTTTTGTTATGTGCCGCTTTTACAGCTTTACGAAAGTTTTTTCGGGAATAAATAAATCTTTTGTAGGATATACATTCTGTTGACTTATTATAGCCTGATTTTTGCCATTGTCTAAAGTGAAAGGAGAGATTATCTTTAATTTTTTTAAGCTCAGGTGTCCACCAAGGTTTCGAGTACTTATAAAATTCTTTTTGTCCGAAACATTGTTTAACTGCCAAGAGAGCTGCATTTTTTATATATAAGCATGTTTTTTGAATTTCTTCTTCTATTTTATCTTCCTTAAATGCGTAACTAGTAAATGCTTTTGATAGATTGAGATTATAAAAGTCAATAAACCTTTCGTTATTCCATGCATGTTTTGGTATTGAATTATATTTTTGCATTATATTATTTATTTCGTGTGATAAGCCGGTACCTTCAAAGTTAATATTCGTAGACACCGGAAGGTGATCACTAAGGTTAAGCGGTGAAGATTGCATAACTTGACAGTTTGTAAAACATAGTTCTGTCTGTTTATAGGATGCAATATGGTCAATGTAAGAAGAGTTAGAAAGAGTTTTATGTTGATAGGTATAAGTAGGCCCAGCACCGTTGATTATATCGACAAAAGCGAGCTGATTTGATTCAATAAAATTAGTGAGATGTTTTGAGAAATTGTTCCTAGTTTTGTTTTTACGAAGCTCTGAATCATATATTTTATATGGAAATGACTGAAAGTCTCCGGAAATAATACATTCTCCTTCATCCTCATAGTTGTTCATTATTGAAGTGATTGTTTGTAACTGAGAAGAGTATTTTGCGTATGATTCGTTATTATTACGACAAGATGAAAGGTAAACACCAATAAAAATTAAGTTACGATTGTTAAGTGTGCCTTTAATAGCAAGAATGTTTTCATCTTCATGTATTATGTAAAAAGATGACAATTTTTTTCGTACCATAAAAGCATTTCCTCCATATGGTCTACCGTGTGTATTTTTTTCTGCCGCATGAAAAAAAACTTTGTGTGTTAGTAATGCAATGTTATTTAACAAAAAAACTCTATGTGTTTCCGTAAAGCAAAAATGTTTTGTTTTACGGACATACATGGAAACATACATAAACTAAAATGTTCTCAAAACATCTTAGTGCCGAAGTATAAAAAGCTAACACTCAAAAAACCCGCCAAGTTTACGAACAAACTAATTCTATTGGTTCAAAAAATAGGCTGATTAAGCGAAAAAAAGTTCTAGAATTTTCTTTTAAAATTGTATCATTGAAAATTTGTTAAGTAGTGAGATTTCTAGCATAAATTGTTTTAAGAATATATTATCAAACAAATTATTATTTTAATACTATGGCTCATTCTTAGAGCCACATCTGCAAAGCCGTAAATCTTTTTAGCTATTATTATTTGTTTACTAAAATAAATGTTTTATAATATATATTTTTTAAATTGTCAAAATTTTAAAATTTTTTTATAAATTATAGACTTTATTAGTATATTCCTATTTTTTGTTAAAAAATTATGTAATTTATGTAATTTTGTGTTTCTGTTTATATTCTAATATATTATTTATTTTGTAAGCATAAAGACTTTCAACAAAAATTGCATTTTCAGTAATAATCATCAAAGTTGATAAAACTAGTTATGAAATAAACATACACAAAGTTTCTGGTTACTGAACACAAACATGCATACAAAATAACTTGCGGATGAACATATACACGACAAGACACATATACACGCCAAGACACACACACATATATATATATATATATATATATATATATATATATATATATATATATATATATATATATATATATATATTCTCGAGCACTTAATAAAAGTTGGTGGGGCAGTTGTTTATTTAAAAATAATATTCCCATCAACCCTTAGCCCCCCCTTCCTTGCATTAAGGACTCGAGAGTAGCAGACAATATTGTTTCGTCCTCTAGGACTCTCCAGTAATGTAATGATTTTATGGGACTAAATATAAGCAATAAAACTAAAAAACTGTTTTGTTCACGCACTACAGAGTAGTGGGTAAACAGCAACGACGCATCCCATAAAAAGTGAGCTCAACAAAACTTCATGTTAAGGAGCTATATCCAACATTAGACAATATTGTTTCACAACACAAACATAATTACATACATAAAGTGACTTACGAGTGGATCAGCACCGCGCCAGAGGTCGAGACAGAACAAAAACATACATGAACGAAACAAAAGCATACACAACAAAACACAAACATAATTACATACATAAAGTGACTTACGGGTGGATCAGCACCGCGCCAGAGGTCGAGACAGAACAAAAACATACATGAACGAAACAAAAGCATACACAATAAAACACAAACATAATTACATACATAAAGTGACTTACGAGTAAAGAAAAGTAAAATAAAATGTTTATTCGTCCGATTCAGATGTAGAACCTAAATCGTTACTGTAACTGCTTTCGTCGCTACTATAATCAGTGACATTGCTACCGTTAGCTGAATCAAGGCGATAAATTCTTCGCTTACTTAAATAGATATCCCCAGCGCGACTCAAAATATCTTCTCGCTCTTGGTAAGTGAAATTCTGGTCATTTCCTGCTATTATTATAGAGTCTTCCATTGTTGAGTGGTTCATTTTTAAACGCCGATCAGTCAGTATTACAGTCAAAATACTGAAAATGCGTTCGACAGCGGAATTAGAGCCAGAAATACACATCAAGTTCAACTAGAAGACAAAAGTTTGGAAACTTCATTCTATGATGAAGGAAAAATTTCTGCCACATTTCCAGTGGTGTGAGTGCAATGGTGTACTGAGTATTTACTACTAGTTTTGCAGCTTTCCATTCCGAAAAAACCATTTTAAAATCTATTCCTGCAGCTTCTAGAGGGTAAAAGAGTTCTTTTAGTAATAAAGATATGCTGAAATCACCATACGTGCTGTCTGCTGTCCATAGTTGTGGATCTAACCAATCCATTGATTCAAGTATTGGATTTAACAGCGAACTAAATCTATCATTTATCAATGGCAGAATGATGTCAATTGCTGCTTTTCTTAATTTAATGGCAGAACTAAGACATTCCAAGTTAAGATTAGCCATGTTGCCGAGCTCAATCTGAACGAACTCTGGATTCGATTTTTTTAATTCATGGCCTTCTTTGAAATATAAAGAAACAAGATTAGTTGTACCATCTTTTTCATTGATTCTGAACTTTAGTAAATATGAATCAATAATATCATCGATACCTTCATTACCTAATTTGTCTAAACTAGCCTTAGTTACATCCACTGCTGGTTTTAATTCATTTACCATTAACATTTTCTTTTCGAAAACCAAAGATAACGGAGATAATTTTTCTAAAATATCCAAATAACTACAAACTATACATAATAGTCTGTATTCATGCAACCGTTTGGATATCCCAGAAATCTTAGCACGCATATCTGCTTTGGTGTCGCGATCCGCAAGAGCGTTTTCAAAGCCCACAATAAGCGAAGGCCAGTTATGTAATAGTCTTGTAAAACCGCGTCTTCTGTGACTTATAAAGCGCGTTCCCGATATTTTAGGCAAGGTGTAGTAAGTAATATTCAAAGCTTCAGCAGCTTTTTTAACCGCGCTTTTTAATTTGCCAGAATTGCGAAACAAACTAAAAATAGAAATATAAAAACGCTCACACTCTTTAAACTGCGATATATCTTTTACAGCACGTTTTATAGCTAATTCTAAACGATGGTTTACGCAGTGAATTTTAATCAACCACGTTCTATCGTTTTTTAATTGCGTTAACACTCCATTATAAATTCCTAAATTAACGCTTGCTCCGTCGGCCGTCGCGCTTACAAGTTTAGATTTGTAAGCTGCCGCAGTTAAAGGAATATTACCTGTTTCATTAAAAATGCTGTCAATGGCATTTTTAATGGCATTTGCACCCATACCACCCAAATTGTTCATATCAAGTAAAGATACTACAAAGTAAGCAGGGGTTCCCTCGCGTTCAACGCGTACAAGAATCAACTCTTTCTCATCCTTCGTTTTTCTAGCCTGTGAGCCATCGGAGAGAATTGAGAAAAAACTTTTATCATTGATGATTTCAGTAACTTTTTCTTTTACAGCACTAGCAATGCAGGAGATATATTCACGTGCTAAAAAAAGAAATAAAAAAAAAATATGTAAAAAAAACTTTTTAAAAACAACATTTTAAAAATGGACCAAAAAGTAAAAAATAAACTATTTAACAGGACACAATAACTATGTGTACATACACAAACTGAAATATCCATTACAGTCAATGACTGAAAATATTGGGCACCAATATTAACGAGTTGTACTTAGTTGCCCAACATTTTCAGTCATTGACTTTAATGGATATTTCAGGTTGCGCATGTACACAAAGTCCTTGAGTCTCGTGAAATACTTTTTAGTCCATTTTTAAAATGTTGTTTTTAAAGAGTTTTTTATACTTTTTTTTTGTTATCCAACAATAACAAAATTATCTATTTATTCACGCTAAACTAAAGCTCTAAAAGTTTGTTGTTTGTTATAATTACTCTTCTTAAAGATTTCTCTATAAATTACGTAACGCAAAATTAAACTTATAGACAAAAAACAAAGAATTGAAATTTTTCCCTCGCATAGTCATTAATTAAATTAAGTATATAAACAACCTTTAAAGTCTCGCAAAAATCGCCGCGCCAAAGAGCAAAATGATCTCTAACTTATACTTTTTAAATAAGTTTTGCGTTGCATAATTTAGGGACGATCCCTAAACTTAAGCCTGTTTAGCGTTGTTTGTTTTAGTTACTTTTTTAAACGATTTCTTTTATTAGTATGCTGACCTCGTGTTTGTTTTGCGCGGACACCAAAATAATATATAAATAAAAAACCTACAAGAATGCAAGTTAATTAAAATGTTGTAAAAAAATACAAAATCATTTAGAAAAAAAACGGTTGTAAAAATTATAAAAAAATCAATAACCTGCTTTATTGTTGCACTTTCCTTCTAAAAGAAGTACACCATTAATTCTTTGACATTTTATCAGCGTCTCGAAATGGCTATGTGGCATGCTCGGTTTTAAAGCCATTTCATAGGCAGTTCTTAACATTTTTGATAACGCATCGCGGCTGTTATGTGGTACCGAGTTTTCTATATCAAGATTGGTGACTCGACAACTTCCAGAGTACCCATTTTCAATTTGTACCGCCAACCTATGACATTGCCCTTTAAGATGGCGATCAACCTTCATTATTATCAAAAAAATTCACGATTAAAATTAAATAATTCAATAAAAAATCGATTTTCTTCGCAATGTAATAACTAATAATATAAATTCACGGCACATTATATAAAACTTTATACATAATACTTTTAATGAAACATAGTAAAATAACTAAATTCATAAAAATTATGATAAATTTGAAACTAAGTAAAATAACTAAATTCATAAAAATTATGATAAATTTATTTCTGGACTGAAAAATATAAAAAGTAAATCATTTTAATTTTACCTGATGTTTTGTCACCAAACAAGTTCCCTTAATAAAAGAATAATTCAATGCTCCTTTAACTAAAGTATCTTTTAATATAGCTATTTTGTGCCTAGCACAAATCTTACACCATACTTTAACAACTAATCCGTTTTCTTCCGTGTACCCGATAACTGATTCTTTCCCCCAAGAAAGAAAAGTTTTTAAGCTCTTAGATATTGGTTTACAAACTCTAACAAATTTTGCTTCAGTTGCCATTCTTACAAACTTGTTATACTTAAACTTAAAGTTACTTTTTTCTGTTTTAAATAGTAATTAAAATTAAGAAGCCCACTCACTAAACATCATCTGCGGTATTACGAAGCAGTTCCGCTTCCTCTTCATAAAACATTTTTAACCTTTTTAGATGGTTTTCAACTATTTAGTTTAATTTCTAAAGTAACTCTATGATTTAATTATTTTATTTGTTTATCTTACTCAGAAGAATTATTTCAAATATGTTAAACTTTTTAAACTACGCGAAGCATAAAACAGGTATTGAAAAATTTAACTTTTTTTATTTATAAAATAATTTAGCATAGATAAAACTAAAATAAGCGTAAGTTTTATTAGAATCTTGTTGAACTTTTCCGAGCTTGGAACTATTTTATTGTGAAGGTCTTTTTTATGTGCCACAAAGTAAAAATGACATAAAAATAAGTTTTCTGGAAAATTTTATGGCCCCTAAAAATGCGGGCCCTCACTAATCCAGCACTGGAAATAAGGCATGAATTTATAAATAAAAATTATAATAAACTCTTTGATAAATAAAAGAACATTTTGTTTCCTTATTAAGAAATCGTAAGATGTTAATTTATATAAAAAATGTTGCTTAATTTTATAAAAAAGTTATAAAAGAGCGATGCTTTGAAAACATTTGTTCTATACATAACTTATTTTGCTATAAGTTTTTCGGCGTTAAAACTAATGTTCTTTTCTTAATTTTTTTGTAATAGTCTCTCATCGGTCCAATAATCTTTTCTGCGCTTTTTTTTTTTGTTTTTAAAATGTTCTTAAAACAACTAAAAAACCTGGCCAGTTTTTCGCAACTAAATATAATTTCCGTGGTCATTATTCGAGTGCGATCGCTCCCGCTTCCCGACCAAGCCTGTATGAATATTTAAAGTTTTGTGAACTCGGTGTAGTTATGGTGATTTTGAAAATTCTATTTTTTTCATATTATATTTCTTTTCTTTTTTTATTTCAGCACAAATACTGTTGATAAATGGATTTAATTTAGTAAATTTACATGACTGGAATTTACTTTTTTGACCATTAATTGACATTGGATTGAAACATTAAAACAAACATCACCACAAACAAAGTAAGTAGTAATAAAACCACACATAAAAAAATTTAATCTGAGTTAAGGTAAGAAGCAGGGTGGCCACGCCTCCTTAAATTTTTAAAGTATCCTAATATTTGAAAATCGTCTTAAAAAGACCTAATTTCTCCTAAAGTATAGGTGATTTTCTAAAATACTCCTAAATTCTCCTAATTTATTTGTCCTGAGTATAAAGCAATAACTATTATCAGCCATTCAACAATAAAGTTAATGAAATGGATCAGACTTGTAGTTAGTGCTGCTGTTTACTGATAGAAAATAATTTACTCAAATGTATATTTAATATTTTTTTAATATTTTAATAATTTAAAAATTTTATTCTAATAAAATTTAAGCTTTTTTTTTCTTATTTCTGCCTAAGTTCTGAACATCAAAATTATTTTTATTAAAACTTTATTTTAATTAAATTGACCTAAAATTATTTTGTACATTCAGAATAGAAAATCTCAGTCAAATATAAAGCTAAATTTTAAAAGCGGTTTAAAGACAATAAATAAGAATTTTTTTATTAGGTTAAGTATTATGTTATTATGTTAGGTATGTTTGATGATTTTTTTTTTATTATTGGCCACCAGCCAAATGCTAAATTTATAAAATAAATTATTCTGCATTGTTTAACATTTGTTAATTTTTTTTTTGCTAAATATATACTGAATTTTTTAAATATGACCTAGATGATTGCTGTAGGTTTAAAAGTTTTATATGTTGCAGATCTGGATGCAAACACATTGAAAATACATGTTAATGAAAAAAACATGTATTTTTGAATGTTATATGTACTATGTGTTTGAAGGTTATGTCTGTTGCAGATCTAGATACAAATACATTGAAAATACATGTTAATGAATAAAGATATAAACAATATATGCCTGTGAGTCATAAAAGAAATACAAACAGTCATTGAGCCACCAGTTGAGCCAAAGGTGTACACTGTATACTTAAGTTATATTTGTATAAAAGTATAAATTTAACATGGTATATTTAACATGTTAACATGCTAATACTTTCTAAGGACACTTTTCACTTTTTTCTTATTTCTGTCAGTGGCAATTCTTGGAATTAAAATTATTTTTATTCACAATTTTATCTTACCAAGTCAACCCAAATATTTTTGTATTTTTAGATTAGAAAATGTCAGTCAACTATAAACTAAATTTCAAAATCATTGGTTAAATGACAATAATTATAAATAATGGGAACAAAAATGTTCCAACGATTTGTATTCAGTAAAATGTAAGGTATGTTTGAAAGTCATTTCTGTTGCAGGTTTGGGTACAAAGGCATTGGAAAAAAATGCTAATGATAACAAACACAAACAATGTATGCCTGTCTGTGATAAATATGCATTGAAAACTGTTGTAGAACCACCAACTAGCCCAAAAGTGGCACTGTGTCCACAGCAGTTAGCAAAGAAAGCAGAGATACTGTGGCCAGTTGATGTTTTGCTTTCAAAACATTCTTTTTGATCAAGTGCAAATAAATCTGAATTATTTTGCAATGTTTAGTGATAGTCAAATAGCTAAACAATTTTCTTGTGGGAAAACAAAGTGCACATTTTAAGGAAATTTTGTGAGAGACATCAGAGACTTGATCAGTTTGTTTGCCAATTTGATGAATCTTACTACCAATTTGTCAAGAAAAGTCAGATAGATTTGCATGTTAGATATTGGGACTCCTCATTAGAGATGATAAAAACAAGATATTTCAACTCTGAATTCTTGGGAAAGGATGCTACTCTCGATATTATGACAAATTTCCGTAAATGTATGAGTGGTTTAGAAGAAGATAAAATGCTCCATGTTTCCATGAATGGTCCAAATGTTAACATGTCTTTCCTCTCTAATTTGAATGCTAAGAGAAGTGAATGTGAACTCAGTCAGTTAGTATCAATTGGATCATGTGGCCTTTACACAATGCACTGTTCATTCAATAATGGTCCAAATGCTTCAAGATGGAAATTGAATAAATTGCTGTCTTCATTGTTTAAGATATTCCATGCGAGCCCTTCTTGTCGTGCTGATTTCGAAAAACCTGACTCAAGCTCAGTCTTCAGATTATGTTCTACAGTTCTGTAGCCATCGTTGGATTGAAAATGAGAAAGTAGCAAAGAAAACTATGGAAATGGCCCAAGATTATTGTGATTATTGACATTTGGAAAAATTTAAAAAAAAGCAAGCAACCTGGTCAATGTAAGCCTGTGCAAAATACTAGTTATGAATACCTTTCTTCATGGTATAAAGATGTGTTAGTCCCTATAAAGTTGCAATCTGTTAAGGAAACTGCAAAACTGTTATCATGTTTATCAGTTTTGTACATGGTTGAATCTCATGAGATGCGTGAACTTTATTTTGACAAGTTGTTGCTGAAATTAGTTGCTTATAAAAAGGTATCACCTTCAGTTGCTGATCAAGCCAAATTACAGTATTCACAATTTTTAACTACTGTTGTGAAAGTGAACAAGGGAAAATTTCTTGCGTTCTAAAAAGAAAGTGATAGATCGGATATTTTGGTTCAATATACAGATGCTTCAAGATTCAAGGATTTAATGAAAATTTACCTATTGTTACTAATATTGTTCCATGGCCAAGCACAAGTAGAGCGTGGATTTAGTATAAACGACCAACTTCTGGATAATAATATCCTAACTGATACTCTTGTTGCACAGAGAATTGTACATGACCACATGTGTAGTGAAAATATAAAATCATCCCTATTGGCTATGACAACTAAACCTATGGGACATGTTAAGGATGCACGAAAACTATACTTTAGCAGTCAGAAAGAGAAGTTCTTGAATGCTTTAAAAACTGACCGTGATACTAAACTGAAAAATTTTAATAAAGAGATTACTAGTTTTATTTTAATAAAGAGATTACTATAATGACCAAGTTCACACCGTTGAAGGTACCATACTTTAGCTCAGATATGATGCAGATGAGTATGCATTGCAAGCGAAAAAGCAGAAATCGTTGATTAAAATAAAGTCAACAATTCTAAAATCTAATGCGCTAAAGAGAGTCGCCTCTGAAAAGCAGGACTTACTAGAAAAAATTACAGCAGCAAAAAAAGTGATAAGAAAGTTGAGATTTAGATTTGGATGTTTAAATTTTTCATTTGTTTTGTTTTTCTGATTTGATTATTTCTTTTTATGACTGGATAATATAAAACATAAAGTTTAGTTTGGCTGTGTATTTTAATGACTTTTGATTATCTATTGTTTGTTACTTAGTCATAAAGTCAGCTTATTAATCCCAGTAATTATCGCAAGAAGCAACAGTCGAAAGAAATAAAAGATTCGTTGCTACAAAAAAAGAATGTGGTAATTAGTCAAAAAATTATTGTTGAGATAGACTGCTTAAATGATCACAAAAAACCCCCTCTTGACAAGGTATAAATGCTAGAGTTGTCTTAAATAGTCTTATTTTAACTATAACCAATAGTTTTTGTATATTCATAAAGTACCTACTCAAAACGGTGACGCCGTTAAATCCTAAATTGGGGCATGTGGACTTTTTAGTCGTTGTAAAGGCAACTCGCCTATGAAAAAAGAAGCTCTGATATAAAACTCTGATATTTGTTTTAATTAGCTTTTATAGCAGTAAATCTTTTTAACATTTCTTAGATTGAGCTACTCTCACAAAAAATTGATCCACGCAGTTAAAATTTCTGAATACATTAAGGATGGTGTTTCTAATGTTCGTGAGATGAGAAGACTTTTAAATATTACTGTCAATAAAATGTTTGGAAAGAAAAATCTTCCTTCTAGAACCAACAGAAGATTTTATCCAAGAACTGACGTAATTCGTTCGCACATGGTTAAAGAGCGTCTAAAGCAAAGGTAATAGAGTTTAAAAAATGCAAAATAAATAAATTTTGATGTAGCAAATATTATAATATGTAGGACTATTTAAGAGAGGTTTTAGGTGTTTATTAAATATTAAAGATAACTTCAGTCATTCATTCATTTAATCAATCTTTTTATTCAACCAATTCAATCAATTAATCACACAATCATATAATTAAAAATAACAACAAAGGTATGTTACTAATTTTTATAATTTAATATTTCATTTTCTAAAATAGACAATAAAATTTAACGTTTTAGATACTCGAACATCGACCAGGATTGCTTAGAAATCAAATAAAATAATGGAAAGAAGCTGACTCATCTGTAAATATCTATTTTCGACCTAAAGAACGGGGTAACAGTGCTGAGCTCTTGTTTGTATACCAAGCATTTTGGCAAAAAAAACTGTTAAAAAAATATGGCAATGAGATGTTGTTTTTGGATGCAACATACAAAACGACACGATATTCTTTACCTTTGTTTTTTTTGGTTGTCAAAACAAATTGTAACAACCTTTGTAAGCAAAAGTGAAACTTTTGAATCGATATCTGAAGCACTTGTTATCTTAAAGTCTTGGAATAAAGATTTGCAACCTTTTTATTGTATGACTGATTATTGTTATGCTGAGACACGTGCTCTCGAAACTATTTTTATTGGTGCGTATTTGTAAAACAAGTTTAGTATTTATTTATTTTACATGAAGTTAATTTAACTATACGAACATCCAATGCATCAACTTATTTTGAATATATTTTTTAGGATGTAAGATATTTATCTGTGACTTTCACAGAGAACAGTCTTGGGACCGTTGGCTAAAAAAGCTATCAAGTGGTTGCTCTAACAGAAAAGATGACATTTTATGTATTTTAAGACAACTTGCTTAGTCAAAGTCAAGTGACGAGGAAGAAAATGCTTTAAGAATATTGGAACAGTCTAAATTCTGGAGTCAAGAAAGCTTTACTAAGTTTAAACAATATATAGAAAAGTATCAACTCCCAATTAAAAAAGTATGTAAAATATAAAATTTTAGAAGCAAGTAAGACGTTTAATATATATTTTTATCGAAATACAGTAAGGTTCAACAAAGAGTTATTTAATTTTTTTATATTTAACTGAACAAAACAAAGTTAAAAAAAAAACTTTTTTTAAATTAGAGGTGGGTTTGGTGGTACAGGCAAGATTGTCTTCTTATTAATTGCAATACAAACAATGGTGTGGAAAGGCAGAATGAGTCTTTCAAATTTACTTATTTATAGCAACATAAAAACTCATCATTGACTGGAATGTTAACTTTGCTTATTGACGACTTTTTTATTGATAAACTTGACAGGTATCATTTTTTTAAAGTTTTGTTATCAATTTTTAAAAGTAATACACACCTAAATAAAAACAACAAATACTTTCTCTGGTTTGTTTTTCAGGAGAAAAGTCTTTATCAGTTAAAAAAAACAAGTTCAGAAAACCTAGGTATGTGATTAGCAGGTTTATATATTTAATAATAATTCATAGTATACATTGTTCACGTAACTAATATTAAAATTTTTTTCCTTATCATTACATTTTGCATTTTAAAGATATCGTGTCTATGGTACTACATACCAAATCACTTTAACATTTGTACATTTACACAATACTGGGTTTTTCCTTATACTTTATTAAAGAAACTTTGTTACTATGTATATTATTTCGTTTAGCTATATTAATTCCAACTTTAAAATGGATGCACGTTACAGAAGGTATGCACTTTGGGTGCCAAGTTATCTTTACAACCGTCCTCATAGCTTTGTTAAACATTGATTAACAAAAAAAAGTAACGTTGAGAATCTTGATTTGTCCAGAGTAATCATGATTAAACATGGATTTTTTGCTGTATTAAGTTCTACCAAGACAGCTTCTAAATATTTTGTATTATTTGGTGATGAGATTACAATGCCAAAATGTACTTGTTTAAATTGGATATTAAATGCATATTCATGCAAACATTTTTTTTTTGTATTTAAAAAGTACCCTGCTTGGTCATGGAGTGCTTTGTCATCATTATATCTAAATTCACCATTCTTAAACTTAGATACTGACGATTATGAAGCATCACACGAAAAACCACCGTTTAGTAGGCCGGAAAGTTCAATTCTATCTAAAAAAGAATGAGATGTCATTAAAGATTGGAATGAGAAATCTAAAAAAATTACAAGTGTTTGCTCTAGAGTAAATATTAGGGAAATGCTTACAACAATATATGTGAAAATTGGTATCATCGCGCTTGTAAACTTATCCCTGATTATGTTTTGGAAGACGAATGTGCAGAATGGTCATGTTCAAAATGCAGCTCTATGTTATTATGCAGTTCTTATGCATGCTTAAGTTATAAAACGTTTTTATTATTTTAGTTATTATTTAGTTTCGTAAAAATCCTAATTTAAAAAATTATTTTTTAATAATACAAACAAATCATTATACTGACTCCATATTTGTAGATGTATTTTATTTATACTTTTTTTTTGTCCGCGTTGAAAAGAAAGTGGAATACCATTCAACAACAACAGTTTAATACTTTATTAATTTTTTCTTCGAGAAGAAAGCTTAAATAAGCTTTGTTAAAATATAACCAAATGCATAACACCTTCGCTTTTCAGAAATATAAAATAAGAATGTGAAAAAGAGAAAGGTTATTGTACTTATTACTTCATACCTCAAAAATATTATTTAATCAATATTTATGTAACTAGTAGTATTTATAAAAAGAGATTATTTAATAACTATTTATATAACTAGTAGCATTATATAGTATTTATATAACTTAAATATAGATAATTATATAAGATGTAAAATATTCATAACAAAAAAAATTAAAATCATTTTTTCTTTTGCATTTTATTAATGTTCAAAAGTTCTAAAAAGTCCTGTTTTAAGTAAGAAACAGTTTATTATTTTATAATATTTCTTGTAAACAAAGTAAATTTTTCTTATATAGCGCTAAAATAAATTGACTTCAAAATATACGCAACTTTCTTATTGCGCTCCATTTTGTTTTTTTCTCAAACAATTAATTTACGCATAAATTATATTAAATTAGCAGTTGGACTTTGATCGCCTTTTGAGTGATACTTTTATCTGCTAACCTTAGTCCACAGTAAGATTTTGGAATCGTCTATCTTGCAGACCAGATATTTTACAACAATATCTTATGATTGTTTAGACTTAATAACCGTCCGACAGGAATTTCTTAAAAAGCAGTAAGTAAAAGAATATAGTATTTTTATAATTAATAAAATTTTAGTAATCCTAATATTAAGTTTATCAAAAAATTAAAACTATATACAAATTTTTTTTATAGTAGTTGCGGCCCTGTGGCCTAATGGATAAGGCGCCAGCCTCCGGAGCTGGAGATTGTGGGTTCAAGTCCCATCAGGGTCGTCTTCCAATGCGTTATGGTTTTTTATGACTAAAAGTGGTATTTTATCAAATTTATCAAAAGCGACGAAGTATATCAGCGTCATTATAAAAAATTTTTTTGTTATTAAAGATTATTAAGATTATAACTGGGTCGACAAAACTGAAGGAGGAAGGAGGGGGGAGAGGCACGTGCTTTGTTTTTTTTTATTTAAAGAAAATTCTAGATATAGAGGACCTTTTTTAGAAATTTACGATTGTGCCCCTCCAATTTCAAACCCGTATCGTCGGCCATGGTTAATTATTTATTGGTTGATAACTTTAAGGTTTTAATAATTGAGGGCAGGCAAGCCCACAAACGATACTACATTTTTAATTAGTAAAACAAGTTAAAATAAGACAAGTTTTCCCATTGCCGCCGAAAAAATTTATAACGCCGGTGGCATAGCCTTAACTGGGCGCCATTATAAACATCAATTTTTTTAAAAGTAAAAGCATGCACAATTATACAAGTTAATGACTATGTTTTTGTTTATAATACCTTCACTTTACATATTTTCATGAACCGCATCTGGATTTAAAAACACTTATGCAACACATTTAAAATTCACTGATTATGAATAATAATTCACTTCAAGCTTATGTATGGGGAATCCATGGAAAAAAACTCCGTTGACATGTTCATCGCGATTTTGCTATCATTTTCCGCTTCGCCAAAAGTTCTGTTTCATACCAAGAAGAGTCATCTGCTCATCATGGGCAGTGACTGATCCAAGATCTTGATAAGCAGCCGTGGCACAGTGGTTATAGTTCTGGCTCAGAAGACAGAGGTTCAAAGTTCGACGCGGCTCTAGCCCAATAAGCGAAGGTTAACTTCTAGTTATATGTTCTCCGTGATAAGATCGTAAGAACTACTGGGAGCACCTAAATAACAGAAGAAAAAAAAACTTTTAGTGGTGGAGGGGGGGGATGGGGGAGGCTGAAGTCTTATTATAAAATATCTTATTGATATTTTAGGACTTTCGTATTTTGGTGGTGGTGGTGGGTGAGGGGAATGTGAACCTCTCATTCCCCCTCCCCTGGATCTGTCACTGAGTAACAGTGGTTTCCCATGGTTGTTTTGCAACTACTACTGTAATTTTATAGTGGCAATTCATACAGAAATTAATAAAAATCACATTTAACTAAATATTATTTTTAACCTATAAGGTTTTCTTTCACTTCTTTTTACTACAAGTTGTTCAAAATTGTCTCTTTTTTTTTAAAAAAAAAGACACAACTTTAAACAACAATGAGGAAGCGTTAAGTGGTCAAAAATAAATACTTCGAAAATTTGAAAATACGGTTCATTACAACGGTCTTGCATAATCAGAAATTTTTATCAGATCTTCAAAAATCTGGAATTTATGTAACTTTCTGATTATTTTCAATTTGTGCAACCGAAGTAACATCATAAACATACTTTTTAAAAGAGTTTACTGTAGGTGCACCTAACTACATAATGCACCAATTTATTTTACGTTTATAAAAAAATGCTGACGTTCTCGACAGGGCGGACAAGAGGGTGGGAGCAAATGGAGGCATACGTTCCCGGGCGCCAAGAAAGTAAAGGCGCCAAAAAACGATTAAAAAATTTTTTTTCAAGTGTCTTTATAATGTTTAATTTTTAATTTTAATGTTTTGTTATTTTATATGATGTTTTTATAGTATAACTTTTTTAAATAAATAAGAAGTTTAATTAATTTACAATTGCGGTTTTCATGTTTACGGATTATTATGTTTAGCGCAGTGAGTTTTCTTTCAGAGAGAACTTTTTTTGTATATATGCATATTATGAAAATGACGACGTATTACATTTTGGCATATAATCTCACGAAAGTATTGACGCGCAAATATCAATGTCACTCTATGCAATTGCATCTTAAATAGCAAATCTGTTTATTTAAAGGTGAACAGGGAAAAGAAAAAAGAAAAAGAAAAGAGTAAATTAACAAATTATTTTAAAGATATAAAAATTAAAAAAAGTAAAAGCAAAACAAGATTAAAATATATAAATAAATATAGATTTAAAAAAAAAAGACGAATAACTGGAAAAAATAGAAGCATAACACAAGCTAAAAGAAAAAAAATGTTTAAAAATCAAAGGTAAAAAAGAACTACAGATAACATTATTGTTTCTGAAAGAAAAGCGAAAAAACAATTTTTTTTTTTTTTTTTTTATTCATTTAGTACATTGTTTATATTGTCTTGCACTTAAGTGTATTGTTTATACGGCTTTTTTTAAAGCATTATTTGTAAGTAGTGTATTTTTGTTTTTAAATAATAATTAATGTATTATTTTTTTAAGGCGTTTTGTTTGCGCAATGATTGTTTTTTATTGGGTTGCTGTTGCTTTTTATGTATATTTATATATATTTTTTTTATTTGGTTTCATATATATGTATGATATTATTCGGTTGGTTTATGAATTAAAACTCACAGAGTGAGACATGATCTCTACTTATGTTTGAATAAATGAAGAAATTATTGTAAATATTTTGTATTATTGTATTATATTATCAATATTTTGAACTATGTTTAATATATAGTTAAGCATTGGTTCAAACAAAAAAGTTAAGCCAACCAAATTATTCAACCAGTAATTTTAAGCAGTTAAAGAACACAGGTTAAAGATAATAAGTTCATAAAATATCTTTTATCTTTTTTATGATTGTCTAGTATTTGATAAAAAATACCTTCAGATTTGAAAATAAATTCGTTTTAATGGGCCATTAAAGATTTTAATTTGGTTCGAGGACATCTTTTGATTGATTCCTTATTCTTTCCCCTCCCCCACCTCCTTAATGGCTTTGCAAAGTTATATATGTTTTAAATAAAATTAAAAAAAAAGTTTTTATTTGTTTATTTCTTTGATAGTTCGTTTCAAATGTCCTCAATTGGGTAATGTTACCATTCGGAATAAATTAAATCTTTAGACTTAACTGCTGATTTGTCCCATATTAAAAACATTTTGAATAATTTTTTTGAAAATATCAAATTTGTCCCATATTAAAAACATTTTGAATAATTTTTTTGAAAATATCAAAGAATCTGCGAGGGAAAACTTTTGATTTTTTTTGTTTTGTTTTTTGTGAAACTTTGCGTTACGTAATTTATGGACGATCACGAAAAATATAATGATCCGTAAAAAAAAATCCGGGGCTCTTAACTGTGCAAATGCTGTCAAAAGAGCGCATGATAATGAAAAAAATAAAGATTCGATGAAAAGTTAGACAGGTTTACATTGGTTCTTACTCATACTAATAAAGTTTGTATTTAATATCACTGTTTGTTTTAATATTTTGCTTTTAATCATTTTTATTTATTCGGAAATTTAATTAGGTACATGAAAACAACGACGAGATGTTTACATGAAAAAAATGTAGTCTATTATAACGAGTGAAGAGAAAAGCCTCCGTCACTCCCTACAAAAGCAAGTGCATTAATATTGAGAACGAATCAGGTATCTATAAGTAAACAAATAGAGTTTTGCACACTGCGTAGTTTTTTTTAAGGTATGTTCATATATTATCACACCAGTTAGATCAAATGTTATATTTAGGTGAAAGCACAGTAGGCGATTGTGAGTCAACGAACTCTAAAGAGAAGAGTGACATTAATTTTATGCTTACTAGTGAAAGTAAAAGTTACGACCAACAAAAAGCATTTTCGGGGGATTTAGGTATAGATTCCATTTATAATCATTATCGATTAGGTCTATTTATTAACTAAATAATCATTAGGTTTATTTATAACCATTATCAAATTTATATTTAGACGAAACCCTGGAAAATGATCCTGCACTGTGGCCGCCGATTCTCAAGCAGTGTGAACGGGTTAAAATCATTCAGAAAGGTCCTTCTCCTTTATCTGATTTTTTTTTTGTATTTCCCCGCAATAGAAAACAAAACAGAGCTTTTCCAAAAACTGTTTTTTCTATGACTCTGCCTAATGGAGATGCAGTTAAAAAGGATTATTTGGAATGGAGCACAACAATAAATTCACTTCTATGTGTCCCTTGCTCTTTATTTGGGTGCAAAAGTTTTGGATCAGCAAGAGATCGATGT